GTGTGGAACAACGTCTGAATAGCACAACATACCTAAGTATTGTTGCTGATCAAGTTCATCCTATCATGTTGATGGCGTATCCCAATGGAGATGGCTTCTTCCAACAAGACAATGCGCCATGCCACGGTACTCGTACTGTACAGGAGTGGTTTCAAGAACATGAGGGAGACTTTACCTTGCTTAGGTGGCCCTCACAATCACCAGATCTCAATCCAATTGAGCATTTGTGGGACGAAGTTAAAAGAGCCATCAGGCAGCTGGTTCCACAATACATCAAATCTCACAGAACTGGACAGTACTATTCATTAGGCATGGTGTCAGATTCCTTGCATCACCTTTCAACATCTCGTGGAGTCAATGCCAAGAAGAATCACCGCAGTATTGAAGGCAAAAGGTGGCCCAACAAAGTACTGATGGAGTGGTCATAATAATCTGGCCACTCAGTGTATATCTTTATCGGCTTTCCAGACACACCTGAAACAGTCTCAGCCTCTGAAGACAATTTACTAGTGTTTAGCTATGAGCTGAAAGGCCTTCTTCTGGGCCTCAGCCTCGGCCTGATCTTTCCTTTTTTTTTTTTTTGGCTTGGGTCTCCTCGTCTCTGTTATTAAAGGCCAGGTCTTTTTGAGGGGTTTGCGTTCCTGTGTCTATTTCGAACTTTGTGGCATATATCGGGGGCTAATTAGGATATAAAATGGGTGTTCAGAAGAAGGGATCCCTCTGGGGTGGTATCCATTTTGAGTCCGGCAATGAGACAGGTGGTTATATGGCTACAGAGTTGGCACCCTGGAGAATTGAGCTGATAGTCCCATTTTGGGTCAGTTTGGGGGGCCCTATCAGCACCAACCAGGTAGACTGCTATGTTCTATCTATATAGGGTATCGGCATGGTCTTTAGCTGCTAGCCAGATGTGCTCCTTTTCTTCTGGGGTTAGAGAGGACAGGTTGTTGTAGATGTTGTGACAGGTCAGGTCATAGAACTGGGTCAGGTACTCAAATTCCTTTGTAAAGGTGGTCAGGTCGGTGGAAAAAGACCCAAGATGCTTCTCAATCTATGGGAGGTCAGGCAAGGAAAATGGAATGTGTATCTGGACAATACCCTTGGCCCTGGCCA